TTGCCTTCTGACACACTTCCGGTGATGTCAGGGGGTGTGGCATATGCAAATGAGTTATGCTAATAAGGTATGCTAATGAGCTCCTGCACCTCTTTTTCTACGAAATGACCCCTGATGCTGGGTATACGTTTTCCGTGCATGCATGCTAGAAATGGGCATGCACGGGAAAGCTTATACCCAGAATTAGACTCTGTTGGTCTTCAAGGTGCCCCTGGACTCAAACTTTGTCCTCCGAGGGCTGAGGCTGCCATTGGCTGCTGGTACAGAACTGGCCACCCTGACCTGCAGTGGCTGGCGCTTCAGGGCTTGGCACGGAGCTCCCTCCCAGCCCTGTTATCTGAGGCCCTTGGCATTGGAGATGCCGGGGACTGAACCTGGGACCTTCTGCATGGCATGGAAAGCTTGACACCCCCAAGCGATGGGCCTTCCCTTCCCTTTGCCATCTCCTCTCCTTGCAAGCAGCACCATTTTCCTTCAGTGCTGCAGAAGAGGGAGACTGTGGCTCGGGGGGGGGGGTGTTGCACCGGGCACTAGCAGCCTCTGCCAAAGTTAGCAAAGGGGGTGCTCCAGATCACGGATCTCAGCAGGTTCACATCCCCCCCCGAAGAGAACAAGATTCTGCTCCCAAGTCTCCTCCTGATTCTTTGCAAGCTGCTTTTTTTGCAGTGGAGAATAACCCTCCCCTACCAGGGAAGAGGAAGTTCAGACCTTTGTGGGGTTCCTTCACTGTGAGCAGCTGCCTGAAGCCACAGGGACCGCCAGAACGCAGGAGCAAAATGCGCCAACAGAGACAATCTCACCCCCCACATACACACCAAGTTGGGTGAGACTGCAAACGCCCCCGTTTGGGTGCCAGAGGAAGGTTGCTAAATCTATGGATCAGTTCCCCCCAGAGAAAATGGCTGCTTCGGAGAGGGGTATGGAATTATACCCTGCCGAGGTCGCTCCCCTCCCTACACCAATCCCTAAACTTGTGGACGAGGAATCATGCGGAATTCTGCAGGGAAAGACTTCGAAATTCATGCTGCAAAACTAAGAAGTTCTGGCACCATGGCCGGAGACAAGGGAGAGACCGTAGCAGACCGCCCAGGCAGACAACGGGTCAAGAACTGGTTGCAGCAACTAGCAAATCCTCTGGAGGACGGTCTTGTAAGAGCATCGCAGTCAACGGCTGGTGAACGTCTTCAGCACCAAAGCAGGCTGAACTTAAATGACAAACCAAGGGGGGAAAGGCCAAGGAGGAAAACGGGACAGGATGTGTGGGCTGGGAAAAGGTCAGCAGGGACGGCCCTAGCCGGTCCAGGATCTTTGCTTTTCCACCCAGCTGGGTTTTCTCTGCATGAAGAGGAGCAATTCTAAGCATGTGTGCATTTAAGTCAATCGACAGGTGCAGATGAGCAGCAAGGCCTGGGGATTGTCTTTCCAACAGAGGCAACCTGAAAGCTACCCTTTTGAAACGGGGCTTCTCCCTCCAGGAAGACAGGGGCTCTTCAAAGCCACTCGGAGGAGGGCAGGTCCGGAGGATAAATGCATTCCCCCCCAAAGAGCGGAAATTCAGGTTGGGCACTCAAAGACCTCTCCCTTTCTCAAAATAAAAACTGAAGATGAATGGTTTCCAATGCTCCCTCTAAGCTGTGGAGTCTGGTGAGCAAAAATTCTACTTTGTGAGCTACTGGCATGAAAGTTGTGAGCGAGCCATTTGGCTCCTGCATAAATCAGTTTGCTCTGGAGCCGTCCTTCCTGACCTAAGACAAGAATGTCTGAGCCAGAGGCTGGAAAACTGTGAGCTGGCTCACACTCACTCAGCTTAGAGGGAACACTGATTTGTCCCCCTGCCGCACAAAGTCTTTCGCCCTCTTCCCGCCCAGAAGCAAAATGCAAACCACTGGAAAATGCTACATTGCCTCACAACCACAAGTTGCACCACCTGAAACAGCTGCCTTGAAGATGTGGACTGACAGAGGCACCGTTGCCCCGATCCAGGCGCTGGTTGCCTTTGTTCCAGCTCAGGTTGCCAGGTCCCCATTTGGGGGGGGGGGGGTTAAGGTTGCCAGATCCAGATTGGGAAATGAGATGGGGGGGGGGTGAGTCTGGGGAGGACAGGGACCTCAGTGGGGTACGATGCCGCAGAGCCCACCCTCCAAAGCATCCATTTTTCTCCAGGGGAACTGATCTCCGTAGTCTGGAGACGAGCTGGAATTCCAGGGCCTCTCTAGGCCCAGCCCCTTCGAGTCCAGTGGGTTTCTAGAGCACCACCAAACCCTGCCCGACTTTTCCTCGGATGCAGACGGGTGCTGCCGCTGCGCCCCCCCTCCTTTCAAGCCACCTTGGCTTCAGTCTGCCAGGAAAGAGCGGCACCGACCCCCTCCTCAGCTGGGTAGACTACCCCCAAACCCCGGTCTCCTTCCCTGAAGCCGAGCTCTCAGAGCGGGCACCCGGTGGCCTCGGCTCACGTTCGGCCACCACTAACCTGTCCCTCTGCACTGGCCAGTCCTGGGGAAGCCGCAGCCGTGGCGTTTGCCGCCTTCCCGGGGCTCCTGCTTCGCTCGCTCTCTCCGGCAGAGCCAGAGCGGCCGCCTGCTAAAGAGGTGCCGAAAATAACCCTCTAGCTACAACTGCTTTTATTCCCATGACAGGTGCGTTACTAAGTTAAACTCCACACATGTCTCTACACCAACATGTTGTGGACCGGGGCGGCGGTGGGGGGGGAGGACTGTTTCCGTGGGTCCTCCACAGCTCTGCAAGGGGGGGGCCTTGGGGAGGAGAGGGAGCTTTGCCAAGGGGAGTCTTTGGCGCTGCGCTGCTCCTGCTCAGGGGGAGGGCGCAGGCCATGGCCCCGATCCTGGAAAGGAGCTGCAGGCGTGCCAAAGTTGCTCTGCGGGGACAGAACGGGAGACGGTTCTCTGCATGGCTGAGCGAGAGAGCTGGGGCCGGGAGTCCGGAGGTGCCGCTGTCTGTGTCTCTCGGCACTAAGGTTCCTGCAGATGGGGGGTGGAGCCTGGGGAGGGCGGTGTTTGGGGAAGGGAGGGACCTCAGCAGGGGGTCATGCCATAGAGCCCCACCCCCCAGCCCCGTAGCTGCCGTCTGCTTCAGGGAACTGGTCTCTGCAACCGGGAGGTCAGATGTCATTCCGGAAGATCTCCAGCCGCCAGACTGCGAGTGCCTTTCTTTGCAGAGTCTTCTTTGGTGGAAGCCACATGTGCAAAGCAGGCAAAGTTACAAAAGCAAAAGTGAGTGTTAAGAGCATGGGTGTCAGGGGAACGGGAGGTCCGGGGTACAGATCCAATTAATGGGTCCGAGCCATGGTGGGCGCCAGAAGGGATCCTTGCCTAGGGTGCAAAATAAGCTGGGGCCGGCCCTGCACGCGGAGGCTGCCAAGCCTAGCTGGCAAAGCCTTTATTTATTTATTTATTTATTTATTTATTTATTTATTTATTTATTTATTTATTTCGATTTCTTAACAGCCCTTCCCCGCTTACGCAGAGCTTAGGGCGGTTTCCAACAACATACACAGAAGAAGAAAGCGAACAACAGGAGATAGCTAGCGACAGTTCCACTTCTACCTCTGTGTCTTTGGGCAAAATCTTCGACACTGAGTCTGAACTGGGAGTGACTGCCCCCCAGATCATACAAGATTAAAATCCCCTGGCAAAAGAAGAAAAAGCGCAAATACAAGACGACAGAAAAAGTGCAAAGACAAGACGAAGATCTCGGATTTTTTCCTACGTTAAGCTTTATAGAACATATATTATTGCTCATATGTGTTATTACAACCAATTAATATTTGCTCTTTCTATTTGAATACTTTATATTTGAAAGGTAAACGATATATTGTAACATAAATATATAGGGAAGTATCTAAAGCGAAAGATTATTGAGCCTTGCTACTCTGAATTTGTCGTGTGTAGTTTGTAGTTATAGTATAAAAGCAATAAAAAGGTTTTTTTAAAAATACAACAATGTACAATTTAAAAACCAATTAAAAGGACAAACAAATCAGTATTAAAACATCCAGCATAATTATTGAAATGCTTTGAAAACGAGATGACCTATCCAGCGTTCAGGTTTTCATAGGGGGGTAGGGAGGGGAGGGTGCCGGGTAGATGTAAGAGGACCGTTGCTGTGAAGGCCCGGCAGAACATCTCTGCCTTGCCTGCCCTGCGGAGCCTTAATAGATCAGGCAGGGCACGGATGTCGTCCGGCAGAAAGTTCCGTTCCACCAGGCTGGGGCAGGGCTGAGAAAGCCCTGGCCCTGGTTGAGGCCAGCCGAATATCTTTGGGGCCAGAAATTACCAGGAGGTCCTTATCTGCTGATCTCAATGCCCTTCGGGGGATATATCGGGAGAGGCGGTCCCGAAGGTATGTAGGTCCCTGACCATTAAGGGCTTTTAAGGTAAGCACCAAAACCTTGAGTCTGATCCGGTGCTCCACTGGCAGCCAGTGCTTTTCAGATGTCACCCTGGCACAGAGCCTTGGAACCAGGGGTCATTTCGTAGAAAAAGAGGTGCAGGAGCTCATTAGCATAACTCATTAGCATAGGCCACACCCCCTGACATCACCGGAAGTGTGTCAGAAGGCAACACCCACTGCTCCGCCTCCACTGGACTGTTTTGGACTGCTAGCTATTGGGGGGGGGAGAACATGAAATCTGTCCTCACAGAGGAGGGAGAGCTTGTACCTGAATAAAACTTGGTCTTAAGGTGCCACCGGGCTGTTTTGGACTGGGGGGGCGGGGGGAGCTCTGCAACTTACCTAGCTGCTTCTTGATCTGACTGACGGCTGCTGGGAGCAAGGGGTGGGGCTTGTTGCATGTGCCCACCCCCTAAGCTCTTTACTGCCGGAGCTCCGTTCCCGTGCGCTCCTGCAGGAAATGACCCCTGCTTGCAACCATGCTTTGAAGGGCAAGCTGCGCTCACACCTGCCCAGGCCCCCCGTCCCTTCTCATGTGCCTGTTCTGAGCAGCTTGCTGAGCCTCTGTCCCTTGCTCCCCCCCTCACATCCCCCAGTGCTGTTCTTGGTCCTTCTGTCTACCACGTGCTTCTCTCTGCCTCCACTTTATCCTGACAACACCCTTGTGAGGTTGGTTAGACGAGCAGAGAGGGATGGAGTCGAAGTCTCCCAAGGTCATAGGGTTACTCTGGGTTGGGGGAAAACCTGGAAGTTGGGAGGGGGAGCCTGGGGAGGGAGGGGTTTAGGGAGGGGTGAGACCTCAGCAGTGTTACCTCTAAGCTGAGCGAGTGTGAGCTAGCTCAGTTTTTTTAGCCTCCAGCTCACACATTTTTGTCTTTGCTCAGGAAGGATGGCTCCAGAGCAAACTCATTTATGCAGTCGCCAAATCACCTGCTCACAACTTTAACTCACAAAGCAGAATTTTTGCTCAGAAGACACCACAGCTTAGAGGGAGCACTGGACCTCAGTAGGGTATAATTCCATACCACCCCCCAATTGTAATAGCAGATTTCCAGCTACCACCTGGAGGGTGGCAACTCTACACCAGGGAGTTTCATGACTGCATTAGGTCACTGTGCAGGGCGGGGGGGGGATACCACTTGGATCCTGCTTCCACATGGGGTCAAATACCCCACCCACGGGCAGGCCCAGAGAATCAGAAGGGGCCATCTTGTAGGCGAGCAAGAACAGCCGGCTGCCTCCCTCCCTCCTGCCTTGCAAAGGCATTTCACACTGAAGCCATCGGGAGGAGGACTTTTTTGCTGGACAGCTGGGTTGGAACACTTTCCCTATGAAGACAGGTTAAAACGCTTGGGGCTCTTTAGCTTGGAGAAATGATGGGTGAGGTTTGACATGATCGAGGTTTGTATGATTATGCACGGGATCGAGCAGGTCGAGAAAGAAGTACTTTTCTCCCTTTCTCACAATACAAGAATTTTTGGGCACTCGATGAAATTGCTGAGCAGTCGGGTTAGAACAGATAAAAGGAAGTCCTTCTTCACCCAAAGAGGGATTAACACATGGAACTCACTGCCACAGGAGGTGGTGGCGGCTACAAGCATGGACAGCTTCAAGAGGGAATTAGATAAGCATAGGGAGCAGAGGTCCATCAGTGGCTATTAGCCACAAGGGATAGATAGGAACTCTCAGAGTAAGTGATGCTCTGTATTCTGGGTGCTTGGGGGGGGGGTCAACAGTGGGAGGGCTTCTAGTCTTCTGGCCCCACTGGTGGACCTCCTGATGGCACCTGGTATTTTTGGCCACTGTGTGACACAGAGTGTTGGACTGGATGGGCCACTGGCCTGATCCAACATTGGCTTCTCTTATGGTCCGATGTTCTTATACTGTTCCACAGAGGGCTTAAGATGAGCCGGGGTCTGTCCCACCGACAGAAAGTTTAGCTGTCAGACTGCCATGCTGCACTGGGTGCCTGGTGGCAAAGCTTCCAGCACCAGCTGGCTGAGCCGATGCCGTGGCACGAGATGTTCGTAAACCATTCCAAATGCTCAGGGAACAAAAGTGCCAGCACGTCTGCAGTTCGGTTTCTGTGAGGGAAGGGGAAATTGTCGGCTTGGCTGGAATTAAAGCACTCTACAGGTCCTAGGGGCAAGAGTGGCTCGATGGGGAAGGCGGAAGCCAGGGAAGGAGGCCCAGCTGGAGGCGGGGTGTACCTGGAAGCAAAACAGCTGACGGAGGGGAGCAAATGAGGCTCAAACTGGACTGGGGACCAGGAATCAGAGAGGGAGGGTAGGTGAATGAGATCTGAGGCAGCTGAGACAGGGAGCTGGAGACCGAGGGGGCTGAATTTCACATGAGGATAAATAGACTGACCCATTCTTTGGCCGCAGACATCTCTGAGAGAAGAGACAAGCGGCCTCAGAGCATGTCCAAAGTGCTTATCTCTCCAGAGTGAATAACCACAGCCCTTCCTTCCATCCATCTAGGGAGGCAGAACTTCCTCATTGCCTGTATCCTTTTACTGCCCAATTGCAGACATGAATTGATTTAAGTATATGCATGTTGTAAACGGCGCTTGTTTAGCATTGCAGGGGGGCTGAACCCTGAGTTCAGGATTGCCAGGTCTGGACTGAAAAATACCTGGAGGCTTTGGGGGTGGATCCAGGAGGGGGCGGGGTTTGGGGAGGGGAGGGGCCTCAGCATGGTGCAATGCCAGAGAGCCCACCCTTGAAAGCTGCCATTTTCTCCAGGGGAGCGGATCTCTGTCAGGTGGAGATCAGCGGTGAAAGCGGGAGATCCCCAGGCCCCACCTGGAGGTTGGCGGACCTACCCAAGTTCCTGGCGAAGGAGTTAAAATGAAATGAACTGGCCTAAGTGTGTCGTGGCTCCGGCTGCCTGGGACCCCCAGGGGACAAAGGGGTGGGGTGGAGGGCTTGCCAGCCCAGGGGGCTGCCCCCCAATTGGCAGCACTGCCTGCCTCCCCTCGAGCAAGGGTGTCCCTGGCCTATGCTTCCCCCTCCCCACAGCCCCTGGGTCTCTTGCCGGCAGGCGCGTTTCATCTTACTTACAGAGACACACCATGGACCATTTCAAGCAGCCATGAAAGCGGCCGCGGGGCAGAAACATCGGCGGCCCGGCGTCGCGATCTGCAAGCAAAATAAAACACACGCCGTCAGGAGAGGGCGGCGGCAGGGGAGCCCCCTCCCCCAGTCCCTGAGCTGCCCTTTTCCAGCCGCCGGCAGGCCGGCCAGAGCTGCTGCCTGGGGAGAGGAGGGCGAGGGCCGGCCTGTGCGGGGCTCTGGTTTCACTCAAGGGCGCCCCACGCGTAGGGTGACCCGTCCTGCCCAGGTACGGCTGCGCAGGGCCCGCGGAAGGACTGCCGCCGGAAAGCTCCGAGGCGATTTGCTCTGGAGGAGACCCATATACTGGAAGGCAAGCTCGGCTTTGCAGGCTGCAGGATTACCATGGCTAGTTGTCGGAGACGTCACCGGTCATCACTGACAGGCAGCCCATCGCGGCTGTTTCCGGCTCGCAAATGGTCACCATTTGCAGTGTTCCCTCTAAACTGAGTGAGTGTGAGCTAGCTCACAGTTTTTTAGCCTCCAGCTCACACATTTTTTTTCTCAGCACAGGAAGGACGGCTCCAGAGCAAACTCATTTAGGCCACAGCCAAATCACTCACTCAAAGCTTTAATGCCAGGAGCTCACAGAGTAGAATTTTTGCTCCCAAGACTCCACAGCTTAGAGGGAGCATTGACCATTTGGCCTGCTGGAAGGCCTTCCCTTGGCTTTCTGATGGACCTGCCTGCCTGCCTGCCTGTCTGTCTGTCATATGGCTGAAATCTGGGCCACTTCGTACCAAAGTGTGTGTGTGGGGGGGACTCTTCCAGAAGCAAGGAGCACAGGAACACTTTCCGAATAAATAACCTGCCTAGCAGCCCGTGGTTTTTACAGTCTGTGAAGAAACACAGTTTTTATCCTGGGAGGTTTGAGATGAACAAAACCTCCATTGTGTGTTTTTAAAGGTTTTTTCCCCCTCTGGGCAGAGAGCAGGCATGGGAGGAGGAAGTTTGTGCAATCGCTTTCCCGATACCTTCATTCGGATGCTGATAGATCTCGCAGGAGGGATAATGGGTGGTGCAAGATCTCCCCCTTCCTCCTAGCAGGGAGCAGAGGTTTGGAGGGATAAAATCCTAGACAGTCTTCAGGAGGGAGGTTCCTGGAGATCTCCAGGAAATGCCTCTTTGACCTGGCGTGACCTGGTCAGTGGGTGGAGACATGATAAAAACTCCTTGCAACAGGAAGGAGGTCTTTTTCCTTTGGGTGCTGAGGTCATGAGAGGAGGCAGGACCATTGACCATGTGGTTGGAGCAAATGTAAAGGTAATGGTAACTATGTAGAGATCTATAACTTCTTAAAGCTAAAGAGCCTGTCTTATATTTTAACATCTGATAGGTCATGTATAAAAAGAGGGACAGAGGATTGCGTTTTTACCCATTTCTTTTGTATCCCTTGCTCAGATATGGTTCTGTGCTAGAAGTGTATTAAGAACATTTTCTTTTTAATAAATATTTTATAACTTTAATGCTGGTAGTGGTTCTCTGTACCACATAGACATCCACTCTCTTGGACATGCTATATTCTAAGGAGCGCCAGGAGGAAGACGGGCAGTTGGCAAGTGGCTATTCCTCCAAGGACGCACAAAGCAGTAAACTGTCCCTGTGGTGACCAGGCGCTGGGCAGCAAGAGACACAGAGGCAAGGCCTCAGAACTTGGAAGGGAAGCTGGGAGCTCTGACCCTCCCTCTGGGTAATTCCTTACAAAGGTCAGGTGGTGGTGGTGGTGGGCTAGCGGAGAGAAAGAAAAGCCACTCCGGGTGTGAAAACCCCTTGGAGGGCAGGGTGGAATAGGGCCCGCAGGCCAGAGCAGGCCTGTTCTGCCATAGTCCCCCGCTTCAGTTTGGTGTCGTGGTTAAGTGTGCGGACTCTAATCTGGGAGAACCAGGTTTGATTTCCCCACTCCTCCACTTGCACCTGGCTGGATGACCTTGGGCAAGCCGTAGTTCTGATAAGAGCTGTCCTTGAAAAAGAGCACTTTCTGTCAGAGCTCTCTCAGCCCCACCTACCTCACAGGGTGTCTGTTGTGGGGAGGGGAAGGGAAAGGAATTTGTAAGCCGCTCTGGGGAGTGAAGGGCGGGGTATAAACCCCATCTCTTCCTCTTCTTCTTCTTCTTCACGTCACCTCCTGAGCTCATCTACCTGGCGCAATGACGTGACCCCTGTGGTTTTTCCTGGGATGCTCTCAGGGGCCCGAGGCTCTGGACAGGACCACACCCTGCCCATCTGTGTGCTTTCCAGAGCTGCTCTCTGGCCAGCAAACATTACCCGGGGGTATCCGCACCGAGCTGCCTGATCTGGGACCCCGACCAAGGCAAGGTGGCTATGAAGGCTTCCGCAGCAGATCTGGGCAGAGCTCTCCGTGCAGGGCCCCGATCCCACCTGCCTGCTCAGAAACACTCCGATGAAGTGCCAAAGCCAGGGCTTCCGTTCCGCCTCCCTTCCCTCACCTCTCAGCGTTTCAAATGCATCTGCAGCATCAGTGTGTGGGGCTGGGGCGGGGCTCTTCCTGGGGCAGGACACTGCCGTTGTGGTTGGGGGTCTTTTCCCCTCAAGGGGAGGGCAGGGGTGGCCCTTGACACAGAACACGGCCTGCCTCGGAGAGCCGGCACTTCTGCTGCCCGGGACCGATTAAGAGCAAGCCCATCAGATCACAGACGGGCGGGAATCCGATTTCTAATTAGAGAGCGAACATCTGGTTCAAAAAGCAAGGCCAGGGTGGACTTAGAACCGCCACTCAGAATCGGGGGTGGGTGGGGGTGGAGAGAAAACACCCCCCCAACATACAAGGGAGGGGGAGGGACTCCTTTCCCTGCTTTTTCCAGACGAGGAGACTTTGTGGTTGGAAGGCCGATGCCGTTGGGTGGAGAGGAGAAGCTGGCAGAGTGGGGTGGGGGAGGAAGGTATATTTTTATCTCTCGGCTTGCAAGTATGAATCTAGGCATTGCGACTTGGGCTGTGCGGCCTGCAGCCAGAGGCTAAAGGCATCACGGAGCAAGCGATGCTATTCGAGCGACCGGCTGCACCGTCTCTCTCTTCTGAGGAGAACCGGGCGAGGACAGCACTGTGCAGGCCCCCTCGCTGCCACGGCGGCTGCAGTTGTACCCTGCAGCGCAAACGCCAAAGGTCAGGTGCCTGATGAGCAACTGAGCACCTGAACCTCCCTACAGACAGGCTCACGGGTTGGGAGGAGAGAAGAAGCTGGCAGAGTGGGGTGGGGGAGGAAGGTATATTTTTATCTCTCGGCTTGCAAGTATGAATCTAGGCATTGCGACTTGGGCTGTGCGGCCTGCAGCCAGAGGCTAAAGGCATCACGGAGCAAGCGATGCTATCCGAGCGACCGGCTGCCCCTCTGCCACCACGTCTCTCTCTTCTGAGGAGAACCGGCCGAGGACTGCACTGTGCAGGCCCTCTCGCTGCCACGGCGGCTGCAGTTGTGCCCCGCAGCGCAAGCGCCAAAGGTCAGCTGCCTGATGAGCAACTGAGCACCTGAACCTCCCTACAGACAGGCTCACGGGCAGGGCTGGGAGCTTCTCTGGCTCAGGAGCCCAGTTTGGGCCAAGGCTGCTGGAACGAGGCCGTGGAAATGACCGAAGTGCAGGATTCTCGGCTGCGGAGACGGAGGCCCACACGGGCAGCCGCCCCTTCCGGAATCCCTGGCATGCTCGGAAGAGAAGGCCGGATGAGGCCGAAGCTCAGGACCCACCCAGTCAGACGCAGCATGGAGGAAATGGCCTGCTTTTGCGGTCTGCTTTGGACCACAGGGCGAGCAGCTGGCTGGCCGCCGTCCATGGCAGGGCACCAGTTGAGTGGGCTCGCACCAGAGCCAGGGCTGGGTTCCATCTGCCCACAATTGCAACGTGCAAGAGTCTGGCACAGAGTCCAGCATCTGCCACTTTGAGAACGGAAGCCGAAGGAACGGGAGGGGAGGCCCTTTGCAAAAGAGACCAGGGACTACGTCGGCCCCGCAGCAGGTCCCCGGGGAATGGACGGGGGGGGGACTGGGAATGGAGGGTGGGGGTGGCATTGTCTCCCCACGCTCGCCTCCTCCCTCCTTCTCCCTGACCAAACAATTCCTCTCTCTTTTTTCCCCCTTTGAAAAACTGGATCTTGCAAATGGAATGTCCTAAGAAAACTCATCCGAATCACACTGTTTATTCTGGCACCAGAATGTGGCGCAGATTGGATGGGGGGGGAGGGAAACAAGCTGCAGGGAAGGAGGCTAAGTAAATGTATGCACTGGAATTCTTTCTTTCTGGAACCAGCGGTCCCAGGTAAATCCCACAGGAGAGTTCTGTGAAATGAATCACGCAGCAGCTGGAAGCCAGAAGCCGCCAAGGAGGACTCAGCATTGCTGTCAAACAGCTCCAGGTCTCCATTTGCCAGCCTGCACTGCTGCGGTTAGAGTCTATGACTGGGAAGTTCAAATCTGTGTTCAAGTCTATGACGGGGTTCAAATCCTTGCTCGGCCATGAAGTGTAGCTTAACCCGCCTTGCAGGGTTGTTGTGGGGATAAATGGGGAAGAGAGAACTCTGCACCTGAGCTCCTTGGAGGAAAGGCAGGAGAAAAGTGTGTTAGGTGAAGAACAGATCATTTCAATCAGGGGTTCCTCCGGGTGCAACACTGGGACCGGTGTTCCCTCTAAGCTGAGTTAGTGTGGGCTAGCTCACAGATTTTCAGCCTCCGGCTCACACGTTTTTGTCCTAGCTCAGGAAGGATGGCTCCAGAGCAGACTAATTTATGCAGGAGCCAAATCGCTCGCTCACAACTTTAACGCCAGGAGCTCACAAAGTACGATTTTTGCTCATAAGACTCCACAGCGTCGAGGGAGCGTTGACTGGAACTGATGTACAACACTGGGACTCATGGAAAACAATAACGCCTCTGAGCGTGCGCTGAATATCCACAACACAGCCCTGTGCGTCTTAAGGGGGAAACTGTGCCTTCTTGGAAACTCTAGCCTCTCTTTTAGCATTTCAGCCTCAACGGTGCTGGGCTAGCTGTCCACTGGGGCCCACGCTGGCTGCCCCCCCCCACCCAGCTGACTTCTCCTCCCCCTTTTCCTTCCCTGCACAACGTCCTAATTGCAAATTCCACCCTTGCTCTTCAACAGCACGGCGGCTGGCATCCCAAAGAGCAGGCTCTTCCCAGCAGCTGCTTTCCTGGCACCGCAAGCGTGGTGCCAGATGGCACGGCCATGAGTTTGCACGGAGAAGCTGCACGAGGCGAGAAGCCGCCCGAGCGGAGGTGGACGGCATCCAAGCTCGCCCACCCTGGCATCGGAAGCCGCTCTTAGGCTGCTGGGAACCGGAGCCATCGTGCTGGAGAGGGGGTGAGCCGGGCCTGGAGAGGAAGAGGGGAGCAGGGACCGGCCCTGCGCCTTGTGCAACGTTCTGCACCCATCCCGGGTTTCGGGCATCTTGCTGACAAACAGCCCCCCAGCCTAAGGCGACTGCTGCACAGGAGAGGGGAAATGCGGCCAGTTTCCAGCAGGCTGCAGTTGCGGAAGCAAAGTGAGAACAAGGACAGTGCTGACGTAGGGATGCCAGCTCTGGGTTGGGAAATTCCTGGAGATTTGCAGGTGGAGTCTGGGGAAGGGGAGGTTTGGGGAGGGGAGGGGAGCCAGTGTTCCCTCTAAGCCGGGTTAGTGTGGGCTAACACAGTTTTTTAGCCTCCAGTGAAGTTGAATGAACAGGGCCAGCCTTGAGTTGGTGAAGGGATTGGATGAACAGCTGTTAATAAACAAAGACAAGCCACACCGTATTCCAGCACCAGCTTCAGTGGACCAGAGCCACAAAGCCCCATGCCTGCACTGCTGACACGACTCTGAAGACGTGGCAAACGGAGGCTCTTTGAGACAGTCGCACGCGAGGAGGCAGACGGAAGGACCATCCGACCAGGCAAGACCGGGGGTGGGGGTGGGTGGGATCTGGTTGGACATCTACTCACTGGGGTTTGGCGTGAAGGTGGGGTGTCGCGTCGCTCCCTGCGTGGCGGCTGGTGACGGTGGTGGCATATTTGGTGGCGTGGATCGGGACTGTGTCTTCACATCTGCCGGTGAGTCAGGCATTCTTGCTGCTGTCTTCTCTGAACTACCTGCAAAGTGGGTAGAGGGAATGAGAGAAGGAGGCAAAGAGGTGAGCTGAGCCACGGTCTTGCCCGGAAGGGGGAAGCACTGCTTTGCAATGGAAGCGCATGAAAATGGCTCAACAGACCAGGCCCAGGTGGAGTGAAGTCACTAGGACTCGGGGTTGCCAACCTCCAGGTAGAGTCCGGAGATCTCCCAGAACCACAGCTGACCTGCAGACTACAGAGATCAATTCCTCTGGAGAAACCGGCTGCTTTGGATAGGGTGGGCTCTATGGCGCTGTACCCCGCTGAGCACCATCCCCTCCCAAACGCCACTTTCCCCGGACTCCACCCTCCAAGTCACCAAGAATTTCCCAAACCCAGTGTTCGCGACCAATGCTCCCTCTAAGCTGCGGAGTCTTGTGAGCCAAAAATCCTACTTTGTGAGCGACTGGCATGAAAGTTGTGAGCGAACGATTTGGCTGCCGCCTAAATTAGTCTGCCCTGGAGCCCTCCTTCCTGAGCTAAGAAAAAAGGGTGTGAGCCGGAGGCTACAAAACTGTGAGCCAGCTCACACTCACTCAACTTAGAGGGAACACTGACCACCACCCTGCGGTGTTTGGTCGAGCGTGTCTGTGACTGGCCCAAGGCACTTCCACAACAGAACGGAGGTCTGACGCCGGCTCTCCCAGCAACGCTCTCTCTAAGCTGCGGAGTCTTGTGAGCAAAAATTCTACTTTGTGAGCTACTGGCATAAAAGTTGTGAGCGAGCAATTTGGCTGCTGCCTAAATGAGTTTGCCCTGGAGCCCTCCTTCCTGAGCTAAGAAAAAAGGGTGTGAGCCGGAGGCTACAAAACTGTGAGCCAGCTCACACTCACTCAGCTTAGAAGAAGAAGAAGAAGAAGAAGAAGAGATTGGATTTATACCCCGCCCTTCACTTGGAGTCTCAGAGCAGCTTACAAACTCCTTCCCCTTCCCCTCCCCACAACAGACACCCTGTGAGGTGGGTGGGGCTGAGAGAGCTCTGACAGAAACTGCTCTTTTTCAAGGACAGCTGTGCCAGAGCTTGTGACTGACCCAAGGTCACATCAGCAGGTGCTAGTGGAGGAGTGGGGAATCAAACCCGGTTCTCCCAGATTAGAGTCCGCGCACTTAACCACTACACCAAACTGGCTCTCCAAACTTAGAGGGAACACTGACCACCACCCTGCGGTGTTTGGCCGAGCGTGTCTGCGACTGGCCCAAGGCACTTTCACGACAGAACGGAGGTTTGACTCTGGCTCTCCCAGCAACGCTGTCTCTCAGCTGTGGAGTCTTGTGAGCAAAAATTCTACTTTGTGAGCTCCTGGCATAAAAGTTGTGAGCCAGCGATTTGGCTGCTGCATCAGTTAGTCTGCTCTGGAGCCGCCCTTCCTGAGCCGAGACAAAAATGGGTGAGCCGAAGGCAAAAAAACCTGTGAGCTAGCTCACACTCACTCAGCTGAGAGGGAACGCTGTTGTCGACCCTAGATCTAAGGTTGCCAGAACCTGCCTGGGACATTACTGGTGATTTGGGCCTGGGGCCTGGGGAGACTCACAGCAAGGTCTACGGCCGCAGAGTCCTCCCTCCAAAGCAACCATTTTCTCCGGGGAAGCTGATCTCTGTCGTCTGGAGGTCAGCTGTGATTCCAGACAATCTCAAGTCACCACCTGGAGGTTGGCAGCCCCAAGTAATAACAACACAGTGGGGTGACTCTCAAGTCATCAGTCCGAGGGGTGGGATGGGGGCGGGACAAGCCGGCCGCCTCTGACAGCTGCCAGTCCTCAGCGAAAACACCTGCCCCGGAGGAACTTGGAGGCCGCCAAGTTCAGTCCTCTCTCCCCTCCATTAAAAAGGATGCACTCGAGGTTGATGGCTCGGCGCAAGTGCACCAGCAGCTGTGGCAGTCCGTCAGAGCCCTTCACGGCTGCGGGGGGCCTGCCAAGACCCACACGAGGACCAAAGAAGGCAAGCATCCCTTTTGCCGCCCCTGTTTGGGGTCAGCAGCCATCTCCTCGAGGTGACACTGCCTTTAGAAGACCGGCAGAGCTTTCGAGCGGGCGGCGTGTGACTGATAAACACCGATCTACGGCACATTCCTAATCCACCGCAACTGTTGCGCGATTAATTGGACCTTGCGGGGGGGGGGGGGGGGGGGGGGAGAATATGCTGCCCGGGCTAAATAAAGCCACAACCTCAGCCAAACAGAGATGTTTATTGGGGTTTGTGGAACAACCTTAGCTGGCACCAAGCTTAAGTTCTTGTAGAACAGCCTCTCTGCTATGGATACTGGATGCCTCGATCCTGCAGGGAGCTGAGGCCCGGGGGTGTGTGTGTGCCTGAAATGCCTTCTTGAGGCAAGGAAGCAGGGCTTCAAAGGAGCACTCTGTTGAGCTTGGCTCCAGGCAGCGGGCACACGTGGCAAATGCGTGGATTTATCGGATCTTCTTGCAGCTCTTCCCCCAGCACAACTGACCGGGTCCTGCTTCAAGCTCTGATCAAGTCTCGGGAATTCAGCAGGCGAGCTGTGTCCGCTGGGGCTGGATCTAGCGGCCTGCTCCACTGACAGAGACCAGCACTGACCAGTACAACATGCCTACTTTGCACAGACAGCTTCCACCGTTCATAGAATCACAGAGTTGGAAGGGGCCACACAGACCCGCTAGCCCAACCCCCTGCCCAATGCAGGACCAGCCTCAAGCATCTCTGACCAATATTCGTCCAGCCTCTTCTTGAAAGCTGCCATTGAAAGGGTGCTCACCACCTCCCTCGGCAGATGATTCCACCTTTGGACCACTCAGACCGTGAAAAAGTTTTCCCTGATATCCAGCCGAGACCTTTCTGCACTTAATTTAAACCTATTGTTTCGGGTCCTCTCCTCTGCTGCCGACTGGAACAGCTCCTTGGCCTCCTCCACATGACAGCCTTTCAAGAGTTGAAACAACTAGTTTTACCATAAGATAATCCTTAAGTTAATTCTTTATTAGTCAATACTAAGATCTACTTAGTTGAGCCAACTTCAGAGGACAACGGAAGACTGGAAGGCCTGGCGAGAGTTCGTCCATGGGGTCGCGAAGAGTCGGACTCGACTGTGCGACTGAACAACAACAACAACAACAAGATCTACTGCTCTATATTCATTGTACTTTGAGATATTGGAAGTTAATGTTATTGTTGTTATGTTATTTTGTTGTTGTAACGATTTACCAGAAATCTTAATAAAAAGTTAATGATTAAAAAAATATATACATCTAAAGAGAACGATCATGTCCCCCCTCAATCTCCTCTTCTCCACACTAAACATTTCCAAGGCCCCCGAGCCTTTCCTCATAGGGCTCAGTCTTAGAGCATGGGTGGGGGGGAGGAGGAATGCACCATCCCTTTCTGGCTGTGCTTTCCTGGTTCGACAGGATTGTGCTGCACGGCAGAACTAGAAATGTGGGCCAGTATGCCCAAAGCCGGCATCTCCCTGTGACAGAAATGCTAGATCCCTGACTGCATGAGCTGCCTGCGCCCTGGAATTGTAAGTTCCGTTGCCTCCGCACTACATAGGCCCAGAGGAGCTTCCCAGAATCCTTTGCAGAAGATGGCAGACACACAGACACCCCACTGCTTCCATCCTATTGTGCTGACAGGGCACCTCTCCCAGAGTGATCCAGGGTTTCCCTGGACTATTGAATTCATTTGAATACACACACACACATTCAGTTAGTTAGTTAGTTTGATTTGTTCCCCGCTGGAGCAGGCTCAGGGTGGCTTACACAAAACTGCAACAAGTAAATACCAGATAAAAACATCAATATAAATATCCTCATAAAACACAACATAATTACAAGAATAGCAGTAAACATATAGATTACAGTCAATAAATGATTTTTTCCCTGCCGGCAGGCTCAGGCTGAATGGTGGTATTGGGCACAGGGTCTTGGATTATTAGGTGCGGCTCCTTAACTAAAAACCATTTTACAGGCCCTGCGGAACTATAAAAGGTCCCGCAGGGCCCCGGTCTCTTCCGGGAGCTCATTCCACCAGGTTGGAGCCGCCACTGAAAAGGCCCTGGCCCTCGTTGATGCCAGCCTGGCGTCCTTGGGGCCAGGGAGGGCCAAGCAATTTTGAGACCCTGACCGTAGTGCTCCCTGGGGAACGTGTGGGGAAAGTAGCGTGAAAGTCTAGCCATTTTAAAGTTTGCTACGGCTGTCCCCCCCCCCCTTTGCCCACTGGGTTGCCACGTCAGCTGTGACCTGACAGCACTTTCCACCCCCCCACCCCCCAAGTCTCATGTTGTTTGGCAACAAGTCATGCCGAATGGAGGGATACCCAAGAGCCCCAAGTCCACTTCATTTTACATAAATGGGGTCTAGCCCAATCTCGTCAGATCTCGGAAGCTAAGCAGTGTTGGTACTTGGATGGGAAACCACTAAGGAAGATTCTGCAGAGGAAGGCCACGGCCAACCAGCTCTGCCTCTTACTTGCAAAGAAGAAGAAGAGGAGGGGGGAGGTGAGGTTGGATTTATACCCCGCCCTTCACTCAGAGCGGCTTACAAGCACCTTTCCCTTCCCCTCCCCACAACAGACACCCTGTGAGGCAGGTGGGGCTGAGAGAGCTCTCTTGAGAACTGCTGTTTCAACAACAGCTCTGGCAGAACGACGGCTTGCCCAAGGTCATCCAGCAGCTGCAAGTGGAGGAGTGGGGAATCTAACCCGGTTCTCCCAGATTAGAGTCTGCGCACTTAACCGCGGCACCAAACCCCTTGCTGGGGTCGCCATAAGTCAGCTGTGCTTATGTGCACATAAGTGAATGGCCCATGCTCTGGACTGAGGAGAGAGGGCAGGAAGGTGCGTCACGGATGCCCAGGCCCTGTGCAGGACTGCTCCAAAAATGCAGACTGCCAGGCAGTATCCAAAGCGGAGCTCTCGGTGGCTGCTGCCTTGTCTGCCAGGAGCCCCCCCCCCACACTCAGCCTCCCTCTGGAAAGCTCCAAAGAGCTACGCTCCCTCCGGC